CTTGTGTCTGTGGAAAGAGGAAGATTGCATCGGAAAGGAAAATAAGTCTGGAATGTGTCAATCTATGGATTAGGGTATAGGAACCTAGCCTCTCTCTAGAATCAGATGCGGTCTCAGAACAAGAGAATTCCACAAGGAATAAAACTACTGGAATAAAGTAAATATAAATGATAGTGCCAAGCTACAGACCCCTTTATATGATGCAGGTAACTAAGGTACTTCCTCAGAGAAACATATGACGGGTGCCACTAGTTAACTACCAATGGCTCAGGATCCTTACCTGGTTTGAGAAGGTGTGGATGTGTGAAGGAGCTGGGCTGGCCCAGGTACCGGTTTGGAATCTTCCTCTGCTGGGCAGGCTGGATGGAAAATCTCCGAAGGAAACAGGACTTGCAGCCTAAAGAAAAAGAAATGCACGGTATGAAGACGAAAGACCTTTCCAGGTATCATACAGCAAATTTATATACCCTCTAAAGATCTCACTCTTAGCACTGTTCATCCCACTTTTCTTGCAATGATAACTCTCCTTAACTTTTCAACTTGTTGCTCGCATAGTTGACTATAAAACCATTAAAATACAAACTCAAATAATGATTGATTTACAGATGAAATAAATATAGCAAAGTTATAAACTTGGACTAGGATGAATAAATTACGTAAAGTTAAAGTACATTGGAACTGACCAACCAGTGACTGCATGCTTGAAAGAGGAGAGTGGTGCTGGTTTGTGTGTGCTTAATCTCCTCTATCTGTGCATGATAGACATGCAGGAAAAATGAAATGTTTAATTTACCCACGAAAAAAGAGATTGCACAGCACTGTCAACCAACCTCCCCCATCATCCTGCCAATATGCTTTGATCATGTCCTCAAAGGCCCACCTTATGGGGGAAAAGGGTAGTTCAGTTTTTATGGCCTTTGCAATCAATCTTTGTACTGAGACTGCCAACAAAAGGGCCAGTGAGTGTGATCGTGATAGACGTATTCATATGGAGGCTGCCTCAGAGTCTCCAGTTAGTACTTAACTAAGTTATTTACTATCATCCTAAACTGAACTGGAACTAGTCATTCAGAAGTGAAAGTCTCCATAGCCTATCCCCAATCCCAAGAGCCAGTCACACTGGCAAAACAGACAACTACAATAAGAACTAGCAGTGTGCAGAGAGGTTGGGGAACTGCATAGGAAGAGAGAAACAAGAACATGATAACTTTAATATCATAGAATATCCCTCATCATCTATTTATCCTCAAAACAACTTTCTAGATTTGGATTTTTAATTATTATTTTAGCAAGTCTGTATCATAGTCTTTCACTACTGGATAACTACTGTGGGGCCTGGCTACAAGACTGCCAAATGCTAGTGGGGACTTAACTAAATAATTGAGCTTCCCAGTCACAGCCACCTCCTGCACCAAGCAACTAGACCCTCTGACCTTAATTCTCCTTTATATCATTCAGGTTTGATCTACACCAGAGTCGATGTAAGGCATCTTACGACGACCTAATTATGTCAGTGTCTACACTACAGCCTTGCTCCTGCGGATTTAAGTGCCCTACTATACAGACATCATAACTCCACCTCCACGAGAGACGTAGGGCTTAGTTAGTGTCTACACAGACACTGCGGGTTACTTATATCGACTGTTGGCTGTCATTCTTGTCAATTTTACAACTCCATGGAACAGTGAAATTGACAAGAAAGCCGGGCTGTCACCATGGGGCATGTGGGAGCTCCAGCTAGAGGCCAGTTGCCCCCCAGACTCCCCACTCGCAGCCAGGTTGCATCCTCCCTGCTTCTGACTCCCCTCCCGGCAGCTCCCCGCAGAGAGCCCGGGAACCACCTGGACTCCGGGTGAAGAGCTCCCCGCCAGGAGCCCGGGGGGCAGTCAGAATCCTAGCAGCAGGGAGCAGAGAGCCCGGGGGGAAGGGGAGAGGAGGAAGAGGCTCCTAGCAGGGAGCTGCCTGTGGAGCTGAGAGCCCAGGCTCTCAGTCCCCCACACGGCCCCTCTTAAGTCAGGGAAGTGCTTCTGGTGGGGATGTGCACTACTGTGAGAAGGAGGGTAGTGTGGATATGAACCACCGCAGTAATGACTGGTGGTTGTAAGTCGACCTAACATAGGTGGATGTACGTTTCTAGTGTAGACATGCCCTCAGGCAGTGCCAATTACAAGATCCTATTATACTGCTAGAGTAGTATTAAGGAACCTGGTTATAGCCTGGTCTACACTTAAAATTTAGGTTCACAAAACTACAGCGCTCAGAGGGTCTGAAAAATCCAGACCCAAGCACCATAGCTATGCTGACCGAATCCCTCATGTAGATACAGCTAAGTCAACAGAAGAATGCTTCCATCAACCTACCATTGCTCGTGGGGAGGGGGGTTCCTACAGCAATGGGATAAACCCCTTCCCTCACCGTAGGCTGTGTCTACACTATCGGGTTATATCATCATAGCTACAGCATTGTAGCTATGCCACTACACTCCCCATAGCATAGATGTGGTCTATGTCTACACTACAGATTCTACCTCAACATAGCTATGCTGGAATAGCCCCCTAGTGCAGTACTGGGTTGCGGTGGCTCTGGTCAGCACTGCCGACCGGGCCATTAAAAGTCCCGCCAGCAGTGCTGCCTGGCTAAGGCAAGCTAGTCTCTACCTGTTCTGACACTGTGCTGCACCCTGAAAGAAAAGCTTTTGGTTTTTTGATTGGACTTATTCCTCCAGTCCAGGGGTCGGCAACCTTTCAGAAGTGGGGTGCTGAGTCTTCCTTTAGTCACTCTAATTTAAGGTTTCGTGTGCCAGTAATACATTTTAACGTTTTTAGAAGGTCTCTTTCTATAAGTCTATAATATATAACTAAACTATTGTTATATGTAAAGTAAATAAGGTTTTTAAAATGTTTAAGCAGCTTTACTTAAAATTACATTAAAATGCAGAGCCCCCCGGACCGGTGGCCAGGACCCGGGCAGTGTGAGTGCCACTGAGAATCAGCTCGCGTGCCGCCTTCGGCACACGTGCCATAGGTTGCCTACCCCTGCTCCAGTCTTTGCAAACTAAGGGTATGTCTACACTACAGGATTAATCCGAATTTAGATAATTCGAATTTGGGAAACAGGTTGTATAAATTCGATTGTGCGCGGCCACACTAAGCACATTAATTCGGTTTTTAACCACATTAATTCGGTGGTGTGCGGCCACACTACCCCATTACTTTAACCACAGTAATTCGGTGGTGTGCGGCCACACTAACCCTAATTCGAATTAACAAAATCGATTTAGGCGCTACTCCGCTCGTCGAGGTGGAGTACAGAAATCGATTTTAAGTGCCCTTTAATTCGAATTAACTGGCTCTGTAGTGTGGACGGGTGAAGGGTTAATTCGGATTAACGCAGCTAAATCCGAATTAAAGTCGTAGTGCAGACCAGGCCTAAATACTGCTTCATTGTGCAAGTGGGAGTACCAGGAAGCAAAGCTAACTAGTCTTTCTTCATTCTCCAAGCTAAGCACAAAGGCCCAGATTCTCAAAGGTTTCAATGGGAGTTAGGCTCCTAAGTACCTTTGAGGATCTGAACCTAAATGTACATAAATATAAAGCATAAAGGGCGGACACAAAAATTTAACTTTTAAAATCTTTCAATTTTACTAATTTAAAGTTCTATCCTTATCACATTCCTTATCTATGTTACTAAATACATTTTTCAAAAATATGATTCTTGCCCTGCCAGCTGCCTTTTAATGCTTGTAATGTGCTTTGACACCTTTTATGCATGTGCTGTATAAGTAAGGCCCAGATCCCTCAAGGGATACTGCAGGAGTATGCCAAAAACTGATACTTGGTTTTAATTGTCTTCTAAAATGGGAAGTAAAACACATTTTTAAAAAGATTTCAGCAATACTTGGTTTTGTATTGAAGTGGATATCCTAGCTTTACAAACCTTGTAATTTTCAATGTTGAAAGCAGGAGTGAGGTACATGTATTTTCCTTAACATCAGTTTTACCAATAAAAAGGAAACAAATATCAGACTCACATTATTTGTCACAAAAAGGGAAATAACATGTGCATTAATGTCATCTTGAACATCTGGTGATTATTATTTCTATACAGCACCACAAATATACAGGATCCCTGCCTCACAGACCTTACAGTTAACTGTAGTTAGATTCCCCCGAAGGGTCTATTTTACACGTTATCGTGACAATCAAATGTGTTGAATTGGGTTATTAAAGATACAGTGGAAAGGCCAAATAGTCTCTGGATCCTTAAATGCATGGAGTAAAAAAGGAGGCAGCAGTGGGAAGAGAAACACAGGCCCTCGAGCGAGGAAGGGGGCACCTCGCAGCAGTGAGTGCCAGGCCCCCAGGAGGGGGAGAGATTCGCCATTAAAAGGAATTAAAGTCTCTGACCTGATAAGCTGCACAAGCCCTTCACAGCCGGGATAAGCCTCTGCGCTGGGAGCCAGAGCATGGCTGCGCCCCCCGCAGGCACCGCGCTACTGCAGGGTGCCTTGTTCTGTACGGAAATCAGCGCCCCACATCCTCTGCTCTACGGCGGCTGCCATCCCCACCCCCACGCGTGGCTGCGCTCCCAGCCCCCAGCGGCCTCGCATACACCACTTGCACATTGCCGGGCCTTCTGAGCCGACTACCCTGGCTGATTACGTCATCTACAAGCGCCCATCCCCCGGCGTGTCCCAAGCCTTAGGTGGCGACACAAACCGCCGCCGGTCTATAAAGGAGGTGCCTCAGGCGAGTGCTAGGGGCTGCCCGGCTAACGCCGAGCAGGGTCTTGCGTGAATCGAGGAGGCGGCTGATGACGTAACAGAGTGGGGGGGTGTCGGACTGGCGCGTGGGTCGCGCGGAGGCAGGACGTGTAACGGACAGTCACACGTTCGCCTTCTAGAAGGTTCCGGCAGCCGCGTAGCGGAAGGGCCGAGAGGCGGGGCTTCAGCGGGGGCGGGGGGCTGCGGACCCTGGAGGCGGAGCCGCGGGGCGGGAGCGAGGCACTGCCAGGCCTGCGCGCGGGGTAGGGCGGCCGCTGCAGCAGCAGCACAGGGACGGGAGCCCGGAGGCGGAGCTGCGCGGGGAGCGGGACGCGGGGGCTGGGAAGTTCCAGCGCGGCGGTGAGGGGGCCCGGCCGGCCATGGATCCGCGGAAGGTGAGCGAGCTGAGGGCCTTCGTGAAGCTCTGCAAGGAGAACCCGGGCCTGCTGCACAGCGAGGAGCTGCGCTTCCTGCGCGAGTGGGTGGAGAGGTGAGTCGGCGCCGCGTGCCGGGGGGGGGTCGCGGGGCTGCCTGGGGGGCAGGGCGCGGCGGTCGGACCCTGGCCCCGGCGCTGCCCGGGTGCGGAGCCGTGTGCGAGGGGAGCGCGACCAGCGCGCTGTCCGGGCTGTGTCTGTGTCTGGAGCCGGACCCTCGGCAGTAGCCAGTCTCGGGCGCTGCCCGGCCCATGGCGTAGCCTGGCGTGCGGCGCGGTGCAGGGAGGCACCGCTCCCTCCAGACACGGGGCGCTCCGCTTAGCGCCTAAACCAGGCGGTGGGATGACCCGTGTCTTGACCCGCGTAGCTGCAGCTATTGTCCGTCTGTCTCAATAAATCTGCCCCCGATGTAACTCGGTAGTTCAGAGCCACAAAAGTAACCAGCAGCAAGGGGCATCCACCGTATAGCACGTGTTAAACGCCTTCAAACGAGACCCTACTGTCCGAACTTTACCTGTCCTCCACCATCCAACAGGTTTTAGCCTTCTGGTTCAGAAAGCCCAAGTGATCCGATTTTACAGTCGCAGAAGTGTGTGGTGGCTTACAATACAAAGTGCCCAAAGTACCTCTTGTGAGATGTAGATTTATTCCTCCGCAACCATCAATCTAGGTTCCACATAGTAAGGCACTTGCAGTATGTGTGCACTGTAGCTCTTGCTGGAAATAACATGGATTTGAAACAGGTGCTTCTCACAATGAAAATACAAGTGCTGGTTGTTTGGAAACAAGACAAGAAATATAAGGTCTGCCAAAGTCTAGTGACTTCTACCATCCAAATAAATCTATCTATGGAACGCACCCATTTGGTTCCAACAGCTAGTTCCCTCTTGATGTTCCAGAAGAACTTGGGAAGGAGAAAATAAGTCCTTGCTGATATTTTCCTCAGAGAGGAAGGAAGCATTATTAATTGGAAATCTGGCAGTAAGTAAAAAAGACCCTGTTTTAAAAAGCACGCTCTCTTTTTTTTTTTGAGAATATTTTGCCCACTATTATAGGTAACGTCTAAGATATCACATGTAAAAGACTAAATGAAAAACATTTTTTAATATACTACTTACATGTCTCAAAAGGGAAAAGAAAAATGGGGGGGGGGGAAATAAAGCCCCCCAAAATGTTGCAAGACAACAAAAACTGACAGGGGCCTGGGTCTGATGCAGTCCCTAAAACTATTAATTTTTCAAACTGATTACTTCAGGTTGAATATTCTTTTCAACTGTGTACGTGAGAACAGGAATCTTTTGAGTTGAATATCAAATCCCTTTTTCTGTATTGAGTGTTGAAGTTTGGGTAGTTATATAGCTTTTTTCTTGAATTCAGGCATATCACATTTTACCTGTACCCTAGGGTCCAGAACTTTGAGTCACAAGGGCTAGAAATAAATTCCACACACCATCAACAGTATGGTATATTGCATTTTTTTCAGGTTGCGATGGTTCAAAGTATCAGAACTTAAAACTCACTCATCCTTCAGACCAACTTTGATTTAGCACTTGTTTAGGGGTATTAGTTGCAGATCTCAGAATAATACAAGTGTCTATCCCAGCATTTATTGGCTTCTCAGGGTTAATGAATTGAAAACCTCGTGAGTAAAAACCAAAAACAAATATGGTCACTCCTCTTCTCTCTCTCTGCCCCCCCCCCCATGTTGAGCAAATGAACCAGTTGTTGAAAATGTTCCTAACACATTTCCTTTTTTCATTAAGCATAATAGTGGCATTAAAATGTTATTAAAAGCATTAGATGGATGCATGTGAATCTTAATTTCTTGGTAGGGTCCATGTTGGCGCTGTAACTATTAAATATTCAAGCTATTTAGAACTCAACTAATGGCTTCCTTTCATGGATTGTGCAGAAGAGCAAGCATCCCTGTGGGCTGTAAGCACATGCAGGGTAACCTCAACTAGTCATTAGTGTTGCTCACTTTTGCTGAGCTGCTGGCTGTTTGGGGGGGGGGGGGGGGTTACTGTGAAATCTCTTTGGGTTGGCTTAAATAAATGCTTAGAAAAGTTGCACCTGAAGTCTGAGAGCCTGTTAAGGGCAAAAGTTTAGAAGGAACTGTTGCTATGTGCACTGCATTCCCACCTGTAACATAAAGTGAGCAAAGTAATTACACCCAAGGGTATTTGCAGTCAGGGCCAGCCTTTGGGGTGGGCAGCGGCCCACCAAAGAGGGCTCCATGTGCTGCGGCCACTGTTCCTCTCTACCCAGCCCAGCCCCTCCCCACCGCTCTTCTCGGCCAGTGGGCCCAGTGCTGCCTTCCCCCCACCCCACTTGCTCCTCTGGCTGCAGCGCCTGAGGGCTCGGGGGGGGGGGGGGGCCCTCAGGTGCTGCAGCTCCGCTGGTGGGGGTGAGGGGGGCTCAGCGACAGGCCTGGTGGTTTCTGGCTGCTGCGCGCCGCAGGCAGGTGGGCTCACCCAGTGGCATGGCCCCTGCCTCCTCCCTGGGCTCTTGGGCCCCGCTGGCCCTGGGGCATTACTGGTGGGAGGGTGCTGCGCATGCAGCTCTGCCCCACCATTATTTGAATGCGGACGCTGGGGAGCATGGGCAGGAAGCAGCACCCAGTGGGTGCTCCTTGCTCCAGGTGAGCCCCCTCAGAGCAACTGGAGTCCCTTTGCCCCATTCCCCCCCCCCCCCCCACCAGCGCCCCTGGTCTAGGGAGAGATGTGGGTTGGGTCCCGTTTGGTCCCGGGGGGGGGAGGGGAGGAATGTGGGTCTGGTTCAGTTCAGGGGGTTCGGTCTGGGGAGGGATGTGGGTCGGGTCCAATTTGGAGGGTTGGCCTGGTCTTTTGGGGGCACCGCTGGTCCTGATCCTAGTCTCTGCCCCTCTCTGCCTAGGGGGGAAGGACTAGCAAGACTAGTATGAATAAAGACACTGTAAATAAAATGTATTAAATTTTTTCATATTTTTTATTTTTAAAATACTTTAAACAGTTTTTAAATTCGCCCCAATTTCATACAAAAATTTAATTCAAGCCCTGGTAGTTCATATGAGAAATGTGAAGGATGAGATAGTCTGATGGTTCCCTTTTACTGGGAGCAGCACATGTTTGGTGTTTTGGCCAGCTTTTGCTTTTGTTAGCTGTTTTTACCCCCGCACGCTCTCTCACACACCGTCTCTCCCCCACCCCACCCCTCAACACACACACCAGGACTCCCTACATCCAGGTCACTTTCCCAACCCGCGCTGTGCTGTGAGGCATCAGGAGCTGCTTCTCTTGTGCCCTCTCCTTATGCAGCCCAGGTGGAAAGTGACCTGCATGCGGGGAGCCTTGACGTTGCTCCTCGCACTCCCTCCCCCTCCCCCCCCCCAGGGGTGTGCGGAGCAGAGGAGCAGCAGTCTGGGGGGGGAGCGAGCAGCAATGCCAGCTGCTTTGTGCATCCAGGTCAGTTTGCCCGTGTGGGTGTAGGAGGGGGATGCAGGGGTTAGGAGTGAAGGGGGTGCAGGGATTAGGGGCATAGGAGTGGGAACTGGCCTTTGGGGTCAAGGGAAGAAGGGGAGCTGCTGGGGCATTGGGGGGGCACCACACCCATGGGGGCCAGGGGAACCAAAATGCAAGTTTGCCCAAGGTGCCATTTTCCCTAAAGGCGGCCCTGTATGCAGTACTGTTTGTTATAGAATATACTTACATACCCTATTACTTCTTATTGAGCTAAATCAGTGTTTCTCAAGCTGAGGGTTGAGACCCCAAGGGTGGTCATGGAAGGGTTTGGGGTGGGGGTCGCAAGCAGGGCCAGCGTTAGGGGGTAGGAAGCAGGGCAATTGCCTGGATCCCCACGTCACAGAAGACCCCGCAAAGCTAATTTACATGTTACAGCCCTGGACCCCCGAGCAAGGCAGAAGCCCTGCACCTTGAGCTTAAGGTAGGGGGTTGCAGTGTGTTTTGGGGAGGTGGGAGTCACAATTTTTTTTAAGTCCAAAGGGGTTGCCAGCACAGAAAGGTTGAGAAACACTGAGCTAGGCTATTCAAACACTGGTTCTCCTTCGCTGCTCATCCAAAGTCTTAATGCAGCGTGTTTATGCTGCATTAAAAGGATATTGTCAGAGTAAATACTACTAATCTACTAGTGTTAAAGAAACACTTGAGTACTCAAACAGATCGCTATCTAGTGTTTCATTTGCATTTGATAGTATTTTGTGTATGGCAGACTCAATATTTCTGTTATGTAGTTAGTTTGCCTTTTATTTGTGTGGACTTTTCACATACGACTTTTTTTTTTTATTGTTTTTTTTTTTACAGCAGAACATTAGTTGTTGTTGCATAAACCATTTTCAAATGGCTAGTTTTTCATTACCTGGTTCCTTCCATCAGAAAGTCTGTTCTTAGTGGGTGAAAACTGCTAGCATTTTTTAATGCTGCATTATCTAAAGATGGAAAAGGATCTAACAAAATTGTATCCAACTTTCTCCAAAACTTATCTATAGGTCAGAGAGCAGCATGACCAATTTCTGCTTTCAAAAAAGCAGCATTTCTTTTTTAAAATGAGTGTCTTACAATAGAGAACTTAAGATGCAGGGGCCAACTGAGTCAGAACTAACTATTGCTGCATTAAGCCAGATAAAATACTGGTGTGCATCTGCTTTTTGCTGTTGGATGCTTTCCCTTTGACAGATGTTAACTGGTGGGTTGATTCCATTTCAGCTTTTCTTGGGACAGTCCTTTCTCATTCTCTTTAATTGAAACCCTGCTGAAAAGGCTGCACTTCAATAACTTTTGTTTCCCCCCTTTTTTTAAAAAGCATGGGAGGTACGATACCACCTGCTCCGGATAATGCCTCTGCAGAAACAATGAAGGTAAGAGATGGGATATTTATAATTATAAACATTAGAATTCTGTGCCAAAAAAAAATTATTAAAAAAAATTTGCTGTCAGAATTTGCACGAAGAATGGGACAAATGGGTTTGTTTAAAATTTCCAAAGAAGATGACTGGAAACATCGAGGAATCTTGTATATTTGGTGCTGGATTGTGACCATTTCAGAGACTGAAGGGAGCCTTTTGTTAATAGTGCCTGCAGACTTGCCACACGCCATTCTGTCTAATGTACCTGAGCTCTTATTTATTATTTGTATTACCATAGTGCCTAGGTGTTCTAGTCATGATCCAGGATCCCAGTATGCTAGCTGCAGTACAAACAAAAAGAAGGTCCCTGCCCCAAAGAGTTTACAATCTAAGTATAAGAGATGAGACAACAAATGGCTACATACAGGAATGTAAGGACACAATGAGACCATGTTGGTCAGCTTGATAGACATTGGTATCAGTGCACCAGTGGCTTACCTATTGTCAAGTTTTTTGTAGGCATCATGGCAAAGGAAAGCTGGTGCATGATGAGGTAGCTTTAGATTTTTATTGGGAGCTTTTCCCAAATATGAGTGGCAGCATGGGAGAAAGCACAAAGGTGCTTGTTGGAAAATGTAAATACTCAGTGGAGCCTGGAATCAACATCTGGACAGTGTAGGAGAGATGATAGGGTCGGGAATTGGCCATGAAGGGCCTTGAAAGTGAAGTCAAGCAACTTATGTTTGATGCATAAGAGGTGAGGGAAGCCAGTGGAGGGATGCTAAAAAAGGTGTTATGGCCTAAGCAACAGACTAAGAAAATTATCTCTGCATCAGCATTCTGAATGGATATGAGAGGAGCACGATTACGTTGTCAAGGCCATAGAAAAAGGTGCTGCAGTAATTGAGACACAAGCTGAGTTTTAGCTGTATGGATGGATAGGAAAAGCTGTTTCTTAGATACTATGCAAAGAGGATCTCTGATCACAAATCAGCACATCTGTGGGCAAGGGAAATCCAGTTTCTGTGGTTCATTCAAACCTTGGTTCCACTGAGACTGGAAGTAAGGGGCAAATTAGTGTTCATTGCAATGTTGGCTCTAGTAATGTGGATGATACTACGTGGATGATATGCCAATTTACTTGAAAGTTGTTAAAGCATAAACCCTGAAGGAAAGTCTGACAAACTGCAATTTATGGGTCAGAAGTTGGCATTAGTGTAGGAAAGTGAGGAGAAGGGTTTTATGTCATTCTTTTAAAACTACAAATAAATCTCCTTAGCCATACGTGGGATATCCTTTAGCTGCTGAAGACTTTGTAGTGGAGTTTTCTGATGCCTTGGGATTGTTGGCCTGGAAATGGACTACTTGACCATAGATAACACATACCTACAGATTTCTGTCCTCCCTTTATTAGGATAAAACAGACAAGCAGCCAGAGGAGCCAGTTAAGCCACCAGAGCCTGAGAGTGAGGAGAGTGACTTGGGTAAGGAAGTAACTGTTACTGCAACTATTCATCAATTTGAACATGAATGTAGCACTATCTATTGTATTTGTAGGTGGAAGAATTTAATTTTCCACATTAGTGTTCAAATCCTTAACTTTTGTCTTTGCAGAAATTGACAATGAGGGAGTGATTGAACCAGACAAGGATGATCCCCAAGAAATGGGAGATGAAAATGTGGAGGTAAACATCTTCAGCTTCCATTGCATTGGAGGAGTTGCTGCTTCTGTATAGTTTTTGATGTTTTGTTTTGATTGTGGGTTTTTTGGGGGGGGTTGAGTGAAATTTAAACTCAAAGGAAACATATATTGGTTAGACAGCCAGTCATTGGTTTTTAATGCCTTCAGTTCTCCCTCTTCTCCCCCACCCCACCCTTCCCTTCCCTTCTGAACAGGAAACTCATCCATTGAAAATTAAGATCTCTCCTAACTAAAAGCCTGCTTCCGTCAGTGATAGTAGCAGAACTCCCATTAACTTTGGTGAGAATCATGGCTGGACATAAAAATGAGCAACTAAAATTTTTTTAAATGTCTGAAAACTAAATATAGAAATCCCTCACTAACAAATGAAAAATAATATTTGGGTGTCCTCCTATTCCTTATGAGCAGTGTGCTGCTCTCCTCCCTTCTTTTTTGAAATTGAACTTAAATACACTTGGGAGTCTCTGCTTGCTCAACTGAATCTTTAGCCCAAATTAGGCAGAATCCTAGAGTTAGAGAACATTAGTTCCCTTTCCTGACCCCCATCCAAGTCTGCTGCTTTTGGTCTCAACTTTGTTTCCTTTGTTTCATAGGTAACTGAAGAGATGATGGACGAGGCCAATGAGAAGAAGATGGAGGGCATTCATGCCCTAGGTGAAGGTGAGGGGTTCTGTACCTTAGCACATACTTGGAGGGTGTAGCTGTTATCAGCTGCTGTTGTGGCCAGTGCTTTCACTTACAAGTCTGTTAAAATCTGACTTAAAGCGTCCTGGAATTTTTCCAGTCTGCAGGAAGGAGTGGGGCTAGGGAGTGGACTGTTTAAAAGCTTCTGCTGGTGGAATTCATTCCTTGTATTGAGTTCCAGATATAATTTGTTGTCTTAACGAGACATGCCTAGAAGCATGGTAATACTGAAGTTCAATGGGGGAGCCCTTGTCTGCACACCCTGCTTTTTGGTTATGGATACCACTCTTCTTGCCTGCCAAAGCTGCTTGTTTTACACCCTCCACTCCATCATTGGTATCCTGGCACAACACAACTTCATTTTGTATATAAGATTCTGTATAAATTGTTTTCTGAAACACCTTAGTTAAATAAACAAATAAAGGAATAGCCCAGGAAAAGAAGAGATTGGGGGGGGGGACCAGCAGAGAACAAAGCTCTTAAATCGACACTCATCAAACTGATGAATAGAACACTATTTCTGCAGCCTGGTTGTGTACTGATGGGGAACCTGATGTGGCTCTATGGAATATCCATTTTAAAAAACATGTGTCCATCTTGTCCAAGTCTGTTTTCACAGCAGCATGTGTTGTGTCCTAGGCAGTCCACATGCTTTAGCTCAAAATCTTGATGTCTTCATGATTTCCTTGCTCTGCTGCCTTCCACTGTTTTGGAATGTCTTTGTTGCTAATCTCAGCGTTGCCGTACATGCAAATAGTCTTATTTAAAGGGACCCTTTGAAGATAAGGAAAAGTATTTTAGGGGGTATTTTTTTCTTACTAAAAACACATTAAATTTAAAATTCTCCATTTTAATAGTGGTTAAAAGTACATTTGGGCTGTCTTTCTAGGGATTACTAATTTTGGTCCAAAATATCTGCCATTATATTTTCTATAGGGAATTGTAAATGGACATATTTAACTTTTATTTTTAAATTGACTAAATTTCAAGTTGGTTTTGGGTACTACATCTGTCCATGAGTTCCTGTGCATGTTTTTGTTTTACCATTGCACTTCCAATTTTTAAGTGTTTTTCTTTCCCCTGTTGCTGTGTGGAAGACCCACATAAATAAAAGGGGAAACTGCATAAATAACTAGTAAAAAAAAAAGTCAAATGTGCAAAGTACATTGAAATAGATTATTTTATAGTAATTTGGGGTGGTGTTGGTTTTCAACAATACTGGTAAACTTTAAGACAGAAATGTGACTTTCTTCTTATGTTGGTGGTACACAACACTCAGTAGATGGTGGAAAACTGGATTTTATCTCCCTGTGGGGTAATTGAAACTTTACTGGTACTTGCCTTTCAGGTGAACTTCAGAAAGCCATTAACTTGTTCACTGAAGCAATCAAGTTGAATCCTCACTTAGCCATCTTGTATGCTAAGCGAGCCAGGTGAGTGATATATAGACCAGTGATTTGTTTTCCTATACATAACCTGATCTCTTTAAAGGGGCCATGGTGGACTAGAAAGCTGAGATTCCAGCTCGTATATAATTTGGGGGGAGATTTAAGGAGGAAAGGATATTCTGAATCTGTGTAAAGATTGGAAAAAAAGCAAAATAGCTTTTAGTTTTACATAATTCTTGGGAGTTATTGGACTGCAAGTCAGATGTGATAGACTGTCTCCTATTACATTGTTCAGTCTCTATCACAAGGTTATTTTAGGGGGGTTGCTGTATTGCCACCCTTACTTCTGTGCTGCCTTCAGAGCTGGGCGGCTGGAGAGCGGTGGCTATTGGCCAAACACCCAGCCCTGAAGGCAGTGCCTTGCCAGCAGCAGCACAGAAGTAAGGGTACCATACCATGCCACCCTTTCTTCTGCGCTGCTGCCTTCAGAGCTGGGTAGCTGCAGAGTGACGGCTGCTGACTAAGGGGCCAGTTCTGCAGGCAGCAGCACGGAAGTAAAGGTGGCATTGCCATACCATGCCATTCTTCTGTCCTGCTGCTGGCAGTGGCTCTGCCTTCAGAGCTGGGCTCCCTGCCAGCAGCCACCACTCTCCAGCTGCCCAGCTCTGAAGGCAGCACTGCCACCAGCAGCAGCGCAGAAGTAAGGGTAGCAGTAACTCAACCCCCCCCCCCCCCCAATAACCTTGTGACCGCCCCCACACACACACAACTCTTTTGGGTCAGGACCCCTACAATTACAACACTGTGAAATTTCAGATTTAAATAGGTGAAATCATGAAATTTACTATTTTTAAAATCCTATGACTGTGAAATTGACCAAAGTGGACTGTGAATTTGGTAGTGCCCTACTTATAAGGAAAATCTAAAGTTTCTTGTGTTATAGTTAGCAAGAAGACCATCTGCAATTAACTTTGTTTAGATTTTTTTCTCACCTAGATACGGAAATTACTTCCTGGGTCATCCAGTCCAGCTAACCTCCACTTTCTGTTCTGGCCATTGAGCATTGTTCTGCGTGCATGTGTACAGCTATATGTGCGGCCCTTCACTATGAAATGGTTGAGATTGCTATACAAAACCAATAAATTAGAAGTTAAATTACTTAACAGTACATACCCTCCATTCATCCATCCATCCATCCATCCATCAGCATGTCTTGCCATTATAATATGTTATAGACCACATCTCACAAAACCATGGTGGTTTTGTCTGGTATGGTGGATGTATCAACCTTAACTACTCAGTGGAGCTTTTGTATATTTTTTTAATGTTGTGGGTGAGGTTCTACAAAGTGGGGGGGGGGCAGACCTGTGGTGGGTAGAAGATGAAGAATACTTTCTGTCAAAAGGTCTGTATTAACCATTGTGTCAGTAGTTGCATGTGAACTCTTTTCTGCTGTAAGGTAAAACCTGACAGAAAAGTGTACCTCCTGACAGAAGGTTTTAGATAGACATAGCCTCAATGATCAGGCATCTGGGCACCCAGTCTCCTCTACCTCAGAAAATCACTTTTGTACACCTCTATATCAATCAAGTTTGTGTGTGTAGCCCACAAACTTCCAGTTAGAACATGAGGAACTGCTAAAGATGACCCCAAATACAACATTTGGGGTGTTTTAAGCTACTTGCTGCACTAAATATCCTTAGGATCCACCTCTATCAAGCTTTTGTCTGGATTGATTAACAATGAAAAGTAAGAAACAAGGAAAATTTTCAACCAGCGCCCAGATTCATATTATAAATTTATGGAGAGAAACGAGAAAAAAAACTGCACAGAAAATATAAAGGGTCGTAAAAACTGTATGAAACGTAACACCACTTGATTGCCTACTTCTGGAGAAATAAAGGGATTTATGCCCTGTTTTAGAATACAGTCCCTAACTCTGGAGTGGTTACCAGGTACCTCCATAATTTGTTGCTTGAGACCAGATCTTGATCGTGCAAATGCAACTCCCCTTTTCTATCTGGCTTGCACTGTATTTCCAACCTAGCTTATGAAAATGTGGGAGTCTTACAGTATGTCACAGAATTGTATAGCTTCAAACAGGCTCTTAATTCTTCAATACCTTTAAAAAATTTCCTGCAACACTTTTGATAAAATGGTGTGAGAGGTGGAAGTGCTGAAGTGGCTCATAACCACATAACTTATTTCCTTGTTAGTTAATCACTAATTATTTTGATAACAAAAGTTACATTTATAAAATGTGTCATTATTTACATGGTGTAGCAGTAGACTAGCAGGAGTTGGTGAATTTCTTGATGGTGGATTATGAGGAGGGATAGGAGCTAGCTGCAGTATAAAGGTTAAAACTTTAGATGATGCATGGACTACAGGGAGAAGCTGCTGCTTTTGAAAAGGACTTTTTTGTTAACAGCAGTTGAGAACTTACTACTTTCCATGATTGTCTCTCCCCCTGCCTGCATTGGTTCTTAACAGCCTCCTTTTGACACTAAGGAAGGATTTTGTAGCCATTGGCATGTTCGTGATTCTGCCTTCCCCAAGGTCATTTTTAGTTCAAGGTACCTTTCAGTCATAGTACTTATCCAGCAGTGTCCAGGACAATATTGCAACTATTGAAACAGAAGAAATTGTGAAATAAAACATGCTCTCCTAGATGAATATTACAAAAAGCTTTGCTAAGCAGTCCCAAAGCTAAGGTTTATAGAATATTGAAATGTTACCTATGGTATATAGCTTAAAATATCCTGTGTCCTTATAGACTAAAGGTTTCTGTCCCAGCTTTCCATGTTGGAGTCCCAAAATGTTACATGGTCTTCAAGGTTTCTATTTGGTCCCATGGTATGTCCATTTAGCCAAAAACATCTTTTCACATTCAGTGCTGGTAATAAAGCCCTTCATTTGTCCACAGCCATCTAGTTATAACTGACGTGACAAGCTATAAGTTATATCATGTTCTGCAACTAGACCATAATAAAACCAATGTGAAAGTCAACCTGGATTAGGCCTTTTTTCCTTAAATTCAGTAACTCCTCACTTAAAGTCGTCCTGTTTAACGTTGTTTCGTTGCTGATCAATTAGGGAACATGCTCATTTAAAGTTGTGCAATGCTCCCTTCTAATGTCTGCTTTGTCTACTGCTTGCAGGAAGAGCAGCCCCTTGCAGCTAGCTGGTGGGGGGCTTGGAACCAGGGTGGACTGGCAGCCCCCTATCAGCTCCCCGCTCTCCTAAGTTCCCTGTGCAGCAGCTGCCTGCCGTTCAGCTGTGTCCCTCCCCCCACTGCCATGTGTTGCTCCTGCTATCTGCCTTGGAGCTGCTCCCCGAGACGCCTGCTTGCTGTGCTGGGGGGGGAGGGAAAGAAGAGGGGGGCTAATGTCAGGGTGTCCCCCCTCCCCCTGCTCCTGCACCCCACTTACTCCCATCTTCCATAGAGCAGGCTCAGGGAGCTTGCAGCAGTTGGAGTCTCAGCAAGCTGATCTAATTAACAAGGCAATGTACTTAAGGGAAATGGGCATATCTCCCTCCATTCCTGCTGCCTTGCAGAGTGACAGAGTTCACCCTTAAGGGCTCAGCCAATTGCTAGTTCATCATTTAGCAGTAAGGGAAATATCCCACCCTCTGACTCCTCCACCTCAACCAAGCTTCACAATCATCATCACTGTGTACCAGTGTTAAATTGTTTGTTTAAAACTGTGTGTGTGTGTGTGTGTGTGTGTGTGTGTGTGTGTGTATATATATAAAAAATAAATAGTCTTTTGTCTGGTGAAAAAATTTTTCTCTGGAACCTAACTCCCTCATTTACATTAATTCTTATGGGGAAATGGATTCGCTTACCATCGTTTCACTTAAAGTCGCATTTTTCAGGAACATAACTACAACGTTAAGTGAGGAGTTACTGTACCCGCTGTTTCTGTCACTAATGGTTTTCTGCCTATTTGGAATAGGCCTACCAAAAGCTTTTTTGGTCTGGTTCCTTTTAGAAGAAAAATCAGAGTGAACAAAATCCAGGGTGGTTCTTGAATACTGAAATTACTCTCTGAATAAAAACCACATAGAAAACATCAGTTGTTTAAGGACACTGACTTACCATAAATGATTCATCCAAGTACAGCTTTCTGTCCAGTCTGGGTCATTGGCCAATGCTCCATGTAGTCTACCCTCAAACCCAGCATCCCTGTTAATCTCTCAGTTCACTGTTTTATGAATTGGCCCTTAGCACCAGCTCTGTCTGGTTTTTACCACCAATTGAGAAATTCTCTTCCCTTGCTGATCCCAACTTTACAGTGCATCTGAGTTGTGTGTGTAGGACTTAGTAAACTTTTTTAACATAGAACTTGAACTCTGCATAGAACTTGAACCTTGTCTTCCTTCCACCCTCAAGTGGTTCTTGCTGATCAAGACTGAGGCACACTGATGAAAGCTTGCACGGTCCCTGCTCATGATTCACCTGTCCAGGGGCTACATGGCAGACTTCAGTAACCAAGACAGAACTCTCACCAGCACAAAATCTTTTGTCTTTAGAATTCTTTAAATACATGCCTGTAGAGGGGTTTGGCTGGGGCTCGTCCCTCTCCGGGGCGGCAGGGAACCATACCGCCTCGCTACTTCCGTTCAGTTGTGATGGGGAATTAGCCTGGCTGCGGGGGTCTCGTGCCATGACAGCAGTAGAGGCAAACATAAGTTATTCACACCCGGTCCACAGGCAGTAGTGAGTCACAGGCTCAGGTCCTCAGACAGGAGCAGAGCAACTGTTATATAACGAGCAGGCCCCGGCCCTGGGTCAGGGTGGGGCAACAGAGTCAATGGCTCAGGCCCTCAGGCAGGCGCTGAGCAAATAGGTAAACAGCAAGTCCAGACTCCTGGCTCCGAAGGGCCTGGGAGAGGGGGAGACTGCCACCCACAAGTTGGGGTGGGGGGAAGGGTTGCAGGCCCACCCACTCCACTGTGTCCCAGCCCTGGGCCCTAGCAGCAGCAGAAGGCCTGCTGCTGTGTCAGTGGGGATCCTGGCCGCAACACTGACATAGGCTCTGGCAGCGCTGCAGCCAGACTAGGGTCGACTGCCCCCGAGCTACATCCTAACTCCCACTCTAGAGGTACCTGGGTCCAGATGGTGTCCTCCAAAGGGTCAAGCACCATGGGCTCCTCAGGGTAACTGACGAAGGGTAGGCTTGGCAGCTCCTCCAGGTTCTGGTCATCATCAGGCATCGGCCAGTCTTCAGGTCAGCCGCCAATTGCTGGGGTCTCCCAACCGGGAGCTAGGCCACAGGCATCTGGCCTCTCTAGCAGCTGTTGTTCTAGTGAGCTCTGGGGAGCGGGCACAGGATTCACTGGCTCCACCCACTTTGGTGTCCGGAGAGGCTCGTCCCTCCCCGGAGTGGCGGGGAACCACACTGCCTCGCTACAATGTCTTTTAGTTTTCTTGCCTGTGAGAGTTGGCAATGGACAACATTGGATGGAGATTGGTTTTTAAATATGTACAATAAATCTTGTCCTTTTTGTCAGTGTCTTTGTGAAACTACAGAAGCCAAATGCTGCCATTAGAGACTGTGACAGAGCCATTCAAATAAACCCAGATTCAGCACAGACCTACAAGTGGCGAGGGAAAGCTCACAGGTAAAGAATTGCAGCCATGTTTCACCTCCCCCTTCACTCATTAGTGAGGGAGGCAATTTTTGTTCTTTTTCTACCCTAATCCATTACGGCTTGTGAATTGTTTATCTGATGTTTTGTGGGAAGGAGGAGATGATTTAGTGGGAGGGTAAATGTTTCTGGTACTAAATGTCCTTTTATTAGCCATCACCAAAATCTTCTGATTGGTCATTGAACATTCTTAACTGTAGGGCTATGATTTTTATTCGTCAACTGGTATAACTTGAATTTTGCTAGTCTTTCATGCCAAAGAATCCCAACACACTTTATACTAGTAAAAGTAAATTGTTTAGGACTAGTAGTGAAGGCTCCAATCTAAAATGTCCAAAAACCTGTAATGAAATACTTTACTTTTTGTAATATAAGTATTAAATGTAATAAGGAATTAACAATTAAATGGGTAGGTGTTTTGACATCCTTCTTATGAATAGGATAGAATGAGTTTTGCTATTAAAGTAATGAAAATTGGATTTTTTAAGCAAAGTTTAGTAAATTCTGTAATTACTTTCTATGGAGTTGTCTTGGTTAACTGTCTTATTCTTCTCTCTGCACCCACACATCTCAAGAATGATGATCTTCTAAAGTTTTTAAACTTGTTTTGGAGGCATATAACAGTTAAGGAGGAACAAACTAAACTGTTAGTAAAAAAGCTACTTAACATTGAAAATCAATTTTTGCTGCTTTCTTTTGGGCAAGATTATTTTTTCTACATACATCCCTTAACAGGGTCCATGATGGGTGGTATCTGCTTAAGATAGCAGACCATCACTAGGATAACAATCCTATTTGCAGAACTGGTAATGAAACATTAGCAATGTTTTCTAAAGGACTTTGAAAATGTCTAATATGTATTCTCATTTAGTGAATACTCAGGAACTCTGCTCTTGAGAAAGTGTACTGTAGTATATTTAAGGATTTTTGGAAATCAGGACCAGAGTTTTGCATCATCCTAAAAATTGCACCTCCTAGCAACCTCATGATTCCAGTGTTCCCTTGAATCATGTTGGGGCATTGGTTCATTACCAATGCACCATGTGCTAAATTATATGAGATCTGGTCAGATCACGATCTGCAATGTTTTCACTTGAGAACTACTTACAAGACCATGGAGGCCCTTATCTTAACATATCCAAATGATATTAAAACTTTCCTTGGTGTGGTTGACTCTAATACACCCTGAAGTAGTGTTAGAGGGCCTGATAGAGTGGGGGAATATCCATGCTTTATGATTCTATTCCTGGCTGTGCCACTAGCCTGCTGGTTAAGTCACTGCACCTCTACTTCCATTTTCACCATCCATAAAATGGGGATGATATTGCCTCCTTTGTGTAGCACTTTAAGATCTATAGGCAAAAAGTGCTGTGTAAGAGTCAGGTGGTATTATCCTTAATATAACTAGCCAAGCAAAATGAGGCTCAACACTCATTGACCAAGTGAAGCAAGGCTCTGCACTCAAACTGATGGCATGTCTCTATCTTTTTCTGTCTGTATGTAATCTGATCAATTCCAAAATTATAGGAAATTCTCTGTGTATCAATGGGCGGAACCATATTGATTTTGGGGAAAATTGAAAAAGCCTGACTTCTACTAAAATCACCATTTGGTTACTCATGATATAGTGGTGAGGCAGTGATCTCAGGGCTAGAAAATAGTGGTTAGGGTGCCAGGGAGCTGCTTCTGCCTGCACCACCAAATGGACACTATGTGGGCCTGATTTTAGTGGAAATCAGGCTGCTGAAAGTCCCTCAAGCTGGGTCCGTTAGGCCCCTCCCTGCTTCGGTCAGAACTATATTGATATTGGTGAAAACTGGAAAAGCAAGCTTTTTTGGATTTCCAACTTTCACCAGAATCAACAAGGTGTTCTGACCAGAGTGAGTGGACAAGGGCCTGGCTGGGTGTACAGCTCAGCCTACAGAAGTAACAAACTCTTTAGCAATAGATACTATTAGTCACTTAAACATTTTAATTGACTATACAATACCTGTTACTGAGGTACACCTTTCTACTTTGGGTAGGGAGTACCTTGTTTTTCATAACAGCAACCTCTTTTTTCTGCTGTTCAGAGGAATGGCACTAATTGGCTTCACAGCACTCATTTGGCTTCTCTGCCAGCAAAAGTGGTAGTTGTGTTGTAGGAGTATAAAGCAGCAGGGAAGTATCCCCTGAGGGCTTCATGCTCTTGAGGCTTTTTTTCCATGATCCACAGTAATGATCAAGTCTTGGACTTTTCTGTAACCATTCAGGTGCTCATTTGTGTGTCCACTTATAAAAGGTTCATGTGGATCCAGGTAAAGGGACATTGGCTACCACCTTGTCTGTTGCGAATTAAAGGATGGGAAGAGAGCGCTACTAACCCCATATTGGTTTCTTCAATTCCAGACTCCTGGGTCACTGGGAGGAGGCGGCACATGACCTTGCATTGGCATGTAAACTGGATTATGATGAAGAGGCTAGTGCCATGCTGAAGGAGGTGCAGCCAAGAGTAAGTGGGGTGGGATGATGGAATAAATTGGCTTCTTCATGGTGACTTCTGCCTATTCTTGCTTGTTAGAGAGACTTCTGAAAGCTTCTGGAGGCTGTAAACATTTTCCTTTGGGGATACATAAGTGCTCTTGCAGTATCAAACATTCAGAGATGGTTATAAAACAACTCTGTGGCTTAAATTGCATTGATTTTCTTTCCATTTCCAGTTGTGGGTAACTGGATCTTTGAGTGTGGTGCTTCTGCATATTTATAATTACCTGCCCCTTTCCCTCTTGTTCTTTCGAGTTATAAGCTGAGTTTAGCAGAAGGAGCTGAGACAGTTGGGGTCATGCATCCCTTTGTAACCCCAGCTCTGAGTATTCAGAATTGAGGACACTCAAATAGCTGCAATGGATACTGCTTTCCAGAAAGTTCCTGAGGCTCAGAGACACTGGGGACTCCTCTTATAGTGTGAATATGCAGAAGCAATGTTCTCAACTCATGATTTCTATAGTAAATTTCTTCCACTACTCTACCACTGGGGGGCAGCATATGCTTTCCTTAAAAGCAGCTATCATTCTCCTTTATGAATTTGCCTCTGCAGAACACCACTGCAGACATCCCATGCTGAGCCATGTGATCAGTAGTTTCTGAGCAGTAGTTAACAGTTGGAAGGTGTGTAATATTTCTCCAAGTCAGACATTGCATAAATTAATGGTATAAATATCTTGTCTAATGGTTCCTCTGTTTCTTTTCATTCACCTGTTAGGTTGGTTCTGTGACCACTCTATCCCTTTCTCTTTTGTTATTCTTACATAGTGGTAAATAGTTCATGTGCAGTTTTAATAGGTATGGAATAGGATCAAGTTTTTTTGTTAACATTTTAGTTGCTTTGGGTCTTGGTCAAGATCACAGAGCCACTTAGGAATCCTGTAGGGTAGGTTCCTGTGACCCTGCACACACTGTTCCTTGCTTCAGATAGACGTGAAATGCCTCAGAGAGGGACCCTGCCAAATGCTGGAATGTCTACAAGGCTTTATCCAAAAAGGTCCTGAAATCTCTGCTTCAGAATCTGCTTATGCAAGAGGGTCTGGTAGCTCAAGTCTGAGAACTTTCCAGAAAAAGTCTCCCCGGGTATAAGTAGTTTGTCTGGTGGGCCATCCTTGGAGTAGAAGTCTGTGCTAAATCCCAGGCTGAAAGGGGTTATTCTCTAATGTGCCCTTTAAGCCATAGGAACCAAAAAGGCAGTTTCTTAGGCTTTGAGTTCTTAAATTGGGGCAAAGGAAAGCGCCTCTTACAGTGCTGGTGGTGCCAAGACCAGTCCTGGTAAGACAGCAGTGCTCCACTGATCTCATTGTCAAATTTAGCTAAGTGTGAGGCAATTGGCTTTCCTTGATCCTAAGGAAGGATAGGGCCTCTTCAGATCTGGGCTTGTTTGCTTCAAGACACCAATTGGATTGGTCTGCCAAAAGCATCTTTTGAAGGCTCTGATGCGGAAGGGGGTTTTGCACTAACTACTCTCCCTTAGGTCTGCTGGGTTGGTTCAGGTGAGACTGTTGCTGAAGCAAGCTGGTGCTATCATCCTTGCTATGCATGGTTCTTTCCAGACTTAAGCGCAATGCCATGGGCTACTTCTCTCTTGTTACAAAGGTTCCTTGCCATTCTACAACCGCAAGGAGAAGCTAGTGCAGGCATAGGAACATTCTTGGCACTTCAGATGTCAGCTTGGGCAACTTCAGACTTAGCTAATTTGCTTTCATCCATGTGGAGGGGGTTTGGGGAAGTTGGCACTTTGACATTATGGTGGTCTTCCTGCATCAATGCTCTTTTGAAAAGTGGTAGCTGTGATATTCCAGAGAAGGCTTCCCACATGATCCTTTGTCATCTGCCTTCTTTACTTTACTGCCTTCTATACTGGTTCTGCCTGGTGTGTAGGGTAATCAGTGATTTGATACCCCCCCTTTCTACTTCATTCCCTAGCTGAGGCTTTTTCAAATGCTTTCTCCTGGTCTCAAGTGATTTCAGGACATGGTAGTGGCTGTGCCCAGGAAGCTAAAAGTGTCTGTTGAAATTGGTCAGGTAGGTCTGGAGCCCCTCTGCCTGTGAGGTTCACTTTACAGGAAATAGGGTTCCCATGTCATGTTGTGAGGAAGGGATGAGTTGTATTTTAGATTTAGTTGAGATGGAAGTAATAAATTAAAAGCTGAAAAAGTAAAATTTACCCTAAGTACAAAAAATCCAGAAAGTAATATATTTGGCATGAAGGCTTATTTCTTCTCCATCTTGATTCTGCGGGCCTCTGGTTATGTGGCCTGACATAGCTTATAGCCTGGGATGGTCTTATGAGTCTAAATCATCCCCTAAGGCAAAAAGCAGGAGTTTCTATAGGGTTTTGAATGCTAAGAGGTCTCTAATAATTAAGGGCTTCTTAAGATACATTGAATACAGCTGACAGGCTTTTGTCCACAGCTGTTTCTCAAGACATTCTCTTGGTTCAGACATTCAGGTCTCTTAGTGACTCAAACCAAAATAATAGATTTACTCTTTGAAAGGAGCTGACCATTTTTCTGTTTTAAGACCGATGAAGCCTTAAAAATTAAAAACCAGGAGGTCCATGGCCAGATCTCTGGGGCTGGGTTAATCTGTTCCTCATAAAGTCATCTTCTAGGTTCCTCAAAAAGGAATTTCAACAGACCGCTTCTGGATTGGTCTCCAATATAGACCCATGCATAGTGTCAAGTATCAGGGGGTAGCTGTGTTAGTCTGTATCTACAAAAACAACAAGAAGTCTGGTGGCACCTTAAAGACTAACAGATTTATTTGGGCATAAGCTTTCGTGGGTAAAAACCTCACTTCTTCGGATGCCCAAATAAATCTGTTAGTCTTTAAGGTGCCACCAGACTCCTTGTTGTTAATATAGACCCAGGCAGTCTATGAATCTCTCTATCCCCGTTGGGAGGCAAAGGTCTTCCTCCTTTCCCTTGACTACCTCATTAACATATGCTGCATTTCAAAAGCAAGGATGTGGTAAAGGATCCTGAACCAGTTCCAAAAAAATCAGATCTTCTTCTCTTCTCCTGCCTCTCCATTTGGGGACTTTGTCCCAGTATTTTTTAGGCATGGTGAAGTGTTTCTCTGGAACAGTGGGTCCTAGATCCCATAAGTGAGTATTCCTTCCAGTTATAAGCCATACCACATCTTAACTCCCTTTACTTTTTCAAGCATCCTTCTCAGAAACTGCTGCAAAAGGAGGTCTTGGCAACCATATTGGGAAAGGCTCTGTTCTAGACTTCTGCAAATTGAAGAAATTACCTAAGGAAAACAAAATTCTACCTGTCTGTTCTGGGGAGCATAATCCTCTCAATCTTCAGGACTGGTATGGAACCATAGCTCTGAAGACTTCTACTTCCACGCCTTGATAAAGCAAAAGCACAGGAAGTATCTTTGGCAATAACTAATATAAGGTTCTACTTTTTGGACTGGCAGCACCCCTAACGGTATTCACCAAATGCTTGGCAGTGTTTACAGTTAATCTGTATGGGGGGCCTTAGGTGTGTCCATATCTGGCTGACTGCTAAAAGATCAGTCTTTCCTGCAAGGCAAGAGTTACCATGCTGTGCCTTGCTGCTCCTTCAGATCTCTACAGTAAACTGAATATATCTTGGCTACAGCTCAAGGGCTAGTCTTCACAGAAGACCCCCTTAGATTCTGCAAGAACTCTAGCTTGACTGCCTAGGGAAATGGTCCAAGAACTCATCCAGAGAGTGGAGGTAGCAAAGTCTAGATTAGAAGACCCAGTGAAATTATCGGAGTGTTGAGCCTGATGTCTACTGCACTTTTGTCTCCAACTCTGCAAGGCTTCAGGTGCACAACCCTTGAAAGGGTGGCTGAATCTGGTGTAAAAACCAAACAATTGCCGCTGGACGTCCAGTACTCTGCTGTGGGCAAATACTGCCAAAGAGTATCTTCAAGGGTTTAATTGGATGATTAATTAGATGATAGTCTTGGTTGACTCGTCTCAATAGAGATCCTAAAAGCACTCCTCAAACTTACCATGGTGTGTGGAAGCCTCAGGAATGAAACTCCACATGCTCTTCCTCGAATTGGGAGCCATCAGACTCTTTCATAAATCTTTACTTCCAGAGGTTGAAGGGTAATTGATGTAGATTCCTACAGATAACATGGTTATGATTAAGGCTACAATTTAATCACAGGTATTTTTAGTACAAGTCATGGACAGGTCACAGACAATAATCAAAAAATCACAACCCGTGACCTGTCCATGACTTGTGCTATAAATATCTGTGACTAAATCTGGGGGGCTTTGGGGTGCTGCTGCTGCTTGTGGGGTAGGGGGCAGGGTCCTGCCACTGCTGCTCTAGGAGTGGGGATGTCAGCAGCCCGGGGCCCTGTCGCTGCTGCTCCGGGCAAAACCCAGGACTGCTGTTGCAGAATCTGTGACCTCCGTGAAAGACTTGCAGCCTTAGTTATGATATATTACTTTGAGAAAGTGAAACTCAGTTGCCTCTGTGAGGAGGCAGTCTTTCTGTAGGAATTGAGCATCCAAAATGAAGTGAACCTGTCTGCTCTGCCCTATTAGGTTATAGGCTACATTTTTAAGTATACATCTGATACTGATCATTACCAGTGGCGACTCAGACTCTTGGTGGCTCATCTTATCTGCCTTGTGGGCTCATCCAGATATGGATTTCTTTGCTACAAATCAATACAATAAGTGCCTGAAGTTTTGCTTGAGCAGGCAAGGATCCACAGTGCTTAGTGAATGTCTTTCTTTTATACTGGGAGTTAAGGGAAAGCTGCTTTGAGACAGTAATCTTAATCATGTCATTCTGAACGTGGCAAACCTATTTCTCGGAGCTTCCAGCCTGTCCATTCATTCATTCTTCTCATGAGTCAAGTGTTCCTTCGCCCAGCAGAGAAACAGGGTTACACTTCTGGACCTCAGATTCCTTTACTCAGCAGCATGGCTGGTGATCTGCTTACTATGTCTCTGTGAAAGAGACCACGTCTGTCAATCCTAAGACTTTTAAAAAACATTTTACAAATTTATACTCTCCCATCTAAAAGCCTATTGATCTTTCAGACTCTAATTTGGTATTTGCTAGATTCATGAAAAGGCCCTTTTGAGCCCATGGATTCTTGCATTCAGTAATACTTCTGGCTGAAGGGGCAAGATTTAGGCTCTAAGTGTCTGTCATTTTTGAAAATGAGACTTAGGTTCTGCTGAAAACTTATCCCTTGTTTTTAGTGGTCATTACCATGGCAGGAGAGTCTAGGAGTTGCAGCCTCAATAGCAAACACTTATTCTCATATTCCACATCAATATATTACTGCCTGTATATTTATCAAAGCCCCAGAAACCCCTGGGGAGGTAAGGCTGTGTACTCTGGATTCTGAGGGAATGTTTACTACTTAGAACTAAGCTGTGTAGCCTCTATAGAGAGAGAGATAAGGGTCAAGCCATCTCAATTCAAAGGCTTTCTAACTGGATAAGAGTATATCCAGTCATTTATGCACTAGGTAGTGTTCTTGTGCGTGAGTCTCAGGGTGTGAGCTTTCAGCCAGAGGAATGACCGCCTCAAGCAAATTATAGATGCATGCCACTATCTGAAATCTGCAGGGTTGCTATGTGGAATTCAGTGACTTAAGACATGAACCATGTTCCCAACACTATCGAAAGCAGAACTTGGTTTCAGGAAGGCAGTGCTTCAATTACTTTTCCACTTGTAGGGGTCCTCACTTGGCTCCCTTCCTTAAGGAGATCACTGGTAGGTAGTCTTCTGCAGTGGGACTCTGTAGAGGCAATACATTTGGAGAACATTTGTGAGAAGCAACTTCTTTTCCACCTCTCCTTCCCTGCTTGAGTTCAGGGAAGCTCTGGTTTAATAAGGAACTTGCATGCAAGTGTTTTTACATATGAAGACATCTAGAAGACAAAAACCCCAACGTTTTACAAAAGTAGAATCAGGAAGTGATCTTTTGCCCTAATTGTCAAATTTTGCATGCACAGCGGTGGTGTTTTTGGAAGCAACAAAAATGTTCTTTGTATTGTTCTTGTGGAAGTTCCCTGTTTGTATGGCAAACAACTGGTATTGACTGTCTGTGGAAGAGTCCAGGCTTTTCTCTTACTGTTCTTGCTGGCCAAAGGTATTAGGTTGGGGAGCTCTATGATGTGGATGATAAGGGGAATGGTAAATCCCAGAGCTTCATGTAAAAAGGGAGTATGTTGGGGAAGTGCATATTTTGACTAGTCCAGTCATGTTGTTACGCCCCAATACTGCTGACAGTATTTGTAAGGTACATGTGGTAAATGTAATCTCTAAAGTCAGTTAATGCTACGTGATGAAGTCAACACTTGTTTTAAAAACTCACTGAAACTAGTTCAGTGGCTAAATTTATGCTGTATCTCAGAGGAAAACATCCATACTATGATGGCTCTATTGGAAATGCACAAGAATACTCACTGTTTCTTCCTGCCTCAGGCTCAGAAGATTGCTGAACATCGCAGGAAGTATGAGCGAAAGCGTGAAGAAAAAGAAATCAAGGAAAGGCTGGAGAGAGTAAAGAAGGCCCGAGAGGAACATGAGAAAGCACAGAGGGTGAGCTTTTGATACAAAACCATTTTTTAAAAAGCGCTGCATAATCTTGGGAGTAGTGCAAGGTTAGTTTTTTTGGTAGAAATTCTATTGTATGCAACCCCTTTCATGTATATTTTTAAAAATGGAATTATAGTATTTGTATTACGATAACGCCTAGGAGTCTTAATCATGGACCAGGACCCAGTTGTGCTAGGTGCTGTGTGTCTTGGTTACTTGATTATCTGAGAAGTGAAATCAGAGGTGGATTCTGCATCCTCAGATTCTGTTGAATCTCTGGAATATCCAGTTACCAGTTTCACCACTGCTTAACTTTTCACTTCCTTCTTGACCACACAACAGAGCAAAGGTTTTCTTAAAAATTTAACTTTTAACAGTAATTAAAGCATATGAATTGCCTGTATTCAGTAAGTTGAATCTCAGCACAAAGGTTTTTTTGCTGAACATGATTCTGATTTCCTCTTCCCCTCTCCCCCTCGCTTTTTTCCCCTCTCTCTCTCTCTCGTTTCTCACGTACCCTCCTCCCCACCTTGCCATCTGGTTTTCCTCTCACTTCTGTTGTATGTAGGTACTTATGTGGCCCTCATCGCTAGTCTCTTAAGCAGGGGTAGTTTTTTTTCTAGGTCAAAATTTCTTGGTCAAGGTATAGTCAGGGTCCAGACTCCAGAGAACATTTTTAAAAAACCCAAAAAACTATAATAATAAGTAAATAAAAAAAGATTTTGCGGTCCATTCTGCGGTCCTGCCTATTGACTACCCCTGCTCTTCAGTGTCTCGAATCTAGCTGATGCTGTTTTTTTCCCCAAAAGGCCACTTAGGTAGTAGGAGGCTGTCTTCCATTTCACTGCTCTTTCTGGAATGATGTGCTTTCATTTGCAGGAGGAAGAAGCCCGGCAACAGGCAGGAGGAGCTCCGTTTGGTGGCTTTCCAGGTACCTCATGTTTTGGGAATCATAATCAATTAGGCGCAGAAGGAGGTTGGCTTTTCCATGTGAGGCAGGGCCAGAGCTTTCATTTATTCTCAATATCCTTCAGCGAAAGGACAAGGCTGTGAGAGCAGGAACTTGAGAAGCCTTTAATTTTGAAGGGATGAAGGGGAGAGGGACTCTTCCTACCAACTACTGAGTATGACTCATGGTGTGTAGTAAATAAAGGTGAGGGGATTCAGAGCTCAACAGTGAAGATTGTTGGGTTGGAGAGAGTTGTGTGTGAGAAGAATATTAAAAATGATATATTGCTTAGCCAACCAGGAGTGAGGAATAGAACTCTGTAAAAATACTTTTAGGAGGGAAAGGAGTTGTCCAAGGTGACCTGGAGGGCTCTCTTGAAGAGTAATATGATGAGATTGGGTGAAGGGAAATTCAGACTGAATATTGAGAAATATGTGCTGGGAGTGAGCTGGGTTCAGTTGAGTAGTTTCTCAAAAGACATAGCAGAATCCATTTAATAAGACCTAATTTCTGTACTGTTCAGAGGGAACCCATCTTTTCCCCAGCATTGGGATATAATAAGCCTGCTATAGTTGCATGCTCTTGGCACTATAATTTGTTTGCAATGAGTATTGGGGAGAAATTGGGACTTCTGTGCCAGTGCATGAGGAGACTTTCCTGGAGGGTGCGGTACACTAAGTGTAGGCTGGCTTCAAACTAGTTCTACCAGGGAATTGATGAATGAGCAGGGACCCCACCCCGTGCTCAACACACATGATGTATTCTGGTTTAGTGTCCAAAATTGGCATTTCTTATGGCACTTTGTTTATTTTGTTAATACATGACTAAGCATTCAGCCTAAGATTTCTACTGTGTGCTTTGTTCATGAGGTGTGTCTTTGCTGACTTCCTGCCCCATGTTACTTCTGCCTCAGACACTTAAACTCTTTTTATGCTACTGGATTTGTGCTGATAGGCTTTACCTGGTTTGGTGAGTTAACCCGAAATAACTGCAGCCTTTGTTATGAGCCTCTTATTGCCTTAGATCCCAAAAATATGGATGAAATGAAATGCATATATTCACAGGAAGAGAAGGTGATGAAGCCCCTACTTTCTAGTTGGTGGAACAACAGTAGCCTTGTGGAAGACCTGTTTGTTCACCTTCCTGGCTGGGACTGGTAAAAGATGGGCTGTCCTGGGCTATGTGCATGTGCTTGTGTATAGATGACGACTGAACTTTTTCCTTTGTGTATTCTTGTCTTTTCTATTTGCAGGTGGGTTTCCTGGAGGTATGCCTGGAGGTATGCCAGGCATGGCAGGGATGCCTGGTCTCAATGAAATTCTCAGTGACCCAGAGGTTCTTGCAGCCATGCAGGTGAGGACTTGCAGTGATAAAACATAAACATGCAAAATGAGGATACAATGTATGTTCTCGTCACTTACAGGGGGAGGAAAAATCTTTTTCTTATCCAAGTTGGGAGGTTTTTTCCCTTAAGACAAATGACAAGCAGTTAGTGAAACCCTCTCTAACAGCATGGGTGGCATCACTCTTTTTGGAATGACCATATAGGCTATTTGTCTAGCTGGTTGTGGCTAATACTCCTGACCTTCCACTGCCCCAAGATATTCTAGACAAAACTAGAATTGTACAATACAGCATGCACTCTAGCTTTTTGGAGCTATTTTCTCCCTCTCTTTTTTGCATGGTTTTGTGGGACTCTCATTACACTACTTCTACGAGATCTGACCCTACTGTGAATGGGAAGGCTTGTTGTCTTTTGAATGTGTATGGATAAATCTTGTTGTTCCTATTGGGATCCAGGAAGTGAGCGGGCGGAAGCCCGCCCTCTACTAAAGGACCTCCCCCCAGCCTAAGGGGAGTATCCACAGGTCCGGGATTCCAAGTGAGTACGGGGGACAACTAAAGATAAAACAGGGACAGGAGTGAGGTCATAAGGCTAATTGAAAGGCAGAACACTGGGCTGGATGAACTGATCTGGCAAATTCCATATTACCATATATTAAAGCCCATTTTTCCCATGCTAAGAACATTCCATATCCTGTTAAACCAGTTATGGTGTTGGAGTTCAGAGGAGAAGCATTCCACTAACAGGCCCTAAGGCAAATCGGCAGTTGGCAGTTGTCGAAGAAAAATTATGGGTGGGTCTGAAACAAAACTGAGAGACTCTGAAAAGTCTACATGGGCAGGTATAAAGGTGTCTTATTGATCTTATTTAAACATGTAAATTGGACTTTAGTCCTGGATGGCTTTCAGATGTGAAATACTTAGTACCCTGGGCACACTGACCTGCTGAAACAGTTTTTCATAGCTGTTTTGAAGCCTTCTATGCCAAGCAAAAGCATAGCAAGAAATAATTGTTTGGAATGTCTTAAGCTTGCAAAATGTGTACAATGCTTTTGGCCCATGCAGACGTCATTAATTTTAATGATAGCAATACCTGGGAGCAAATCTTTACCGGAACTGGTGAGATCTGCAGTAATGGCTTCCAGGGCATGCATGAATAATACTGCAAGAAATTTTTTAGATCAAAACTTTCTTTGCCAAAAAATTCAGCTTTGGGTCAACCAAAAAGTTTAAAAAAATTTGTTTCAAATTTGTCAGTGTTTTTGGTTGAAAAACCAAAAAAACTACAAATGTTAAAAATGAAAACATTTCATTTTGATATTTTGGAAATATTAAACATTTCAATTTCCTGATTCAAAACTCCTTTGTTTAAAAACCTACTTCATTGTCCCTTTAAAAATTTTTAAAAGAATCTTGAATAAAAAGATTTGGTTTAGTTTGATCTGAAACAAAAAAAAATTTCAACTTCTTGGCTTGCTGAGAAATTTTTTCAGGTCAACTCAAAAATATTTTTTTATTTTCTTTTTTTAATGGCCAGTGAACCAAAAAATCGGTTATTGACACAGCTTTACGTGAGAAACAAGAATTTCAGCTTCACTGGTTTGTCTAGTTGTCATAATTCACACTGCCAACCAGTGCTTTGAAATCACATAGAAGCTCTGTTCTCAGCAGCTGTGCTGGTGTTAATGATAGTGCATTTTAGAGCCTGGAAGCACTTGGTATAAGTTCTGAGATTCTGCCAGTGTTGATCTTTCTTCTGAACTATTGCAAAAATATGTAATGTGGACAGCATTCTTTGTTTAATGTAGACAGTAGTGGTGACGCTTCGCGGTGGAGGGAGGATTTACTTAGGGTATGTCTACACTACGAGAGTAGTTCGATTTTACTTAAATCGAATTAGTGGAACCAATATTACAAAGTCGAACGTGTGTATCCACACTAAGGACAATAATTCGACTTTGTGAGTCCACGCTAACGGGGCAAGCGTTGACATTGGAAGCGGTGCACTGTGGGCAGCTAGCCCACAGTCCCCGCTGCCCATTGGAATTCTGGGTCGAGCCCCCAATGCCTGCTGGGGAAAAAAGTGTCGAGGGTGGTTTTGGGTAACTGTCATCATTCAACCGTCACTCCCGCCCTCCATCCCTGAAAGCGCCGGCGGGCAATCAGTTCGCGCACTTTTCTGGTGAGCGACAGCGCGGACGCCACAGCACTGCGAGCATGGAGCCCGCTGCGATCATCCCTGCAGTTATGGCCGTTGTCAACACCTCGCACCTTATCGTCCACCTTTTTCAGAGTCAAATGCTGAGAAATCGGGCGAGGAGGCTACGGCAGCGCGGTGAGGACATTAAGTCTGAGAGGGGCACAGACCTCTCACAAAGTACGGGACCCCGCGCCGTGAACATTATGGTGGCAATGGGTCATGTTGATGCTGTGGAACAGCGATTCTGGGCCCGGGAAACAAGCACGGACTGGTGGGACCGCATAGTGCTGCAGGTCTGGGATGAATCACAGTGGCTGCGAAACTTTAGGATGCGTAAGGGAACTTTCCTGGAACTTTGTGAGTTGCTGTCCCCTGACCTGAAGCACAAGGACACCCGGATGCGAGCAGCCCTGACTGTCCAGAAGCGAGTGGCCATAGCCCTCTGGAAGCTTGCAACGCCAGACAGCTACTGGTCAGTCGCGAACCACTTTGGAGTGGGCAAATCTACCCTGGGGGTTGCTGTGATGCAAGTAGCCAACGCAATCGTTGAGCTACTGCTCTCAAAGGTAGTGACCCTGGAAACGTGCAGGTCATCATAGATGGCTTCGCCGCGATGGGATTCGCAAACTGCGGTGGGGCTATAGATGGAACTCACATCCCTATCCTGGCACCGGACCACCAGGCCAGCCAGTATATTAACAGAAAGGGCTACTTTTCAATGGTGCTGCAAGCACTGGTGGACCATAGGGGACATTTTACCAACATCAGCGTCGGATGGCCGGGCAAGGTTCACGACACTCGTGTTTTCAGGAACTCTGGTCTGTTTAGACGGCTGCAGGAAGGTATTTACTTCCCGGACCACAAAATAACTGTTGGGGATGTGGAGATGCCTATAGTGATCCTCGGGGACCCAGCCTACCCGCTAATGCCCTGGCTCATGAAGCCCTATACAGGCGCCCTGGACACTGAAAAAGAACTCTTCAACTACCAGCTGAGCAAGTGCAGAATGGTGGTGGAGTGTGCTTTTGGACGTCTCAAGGGGAGATGGAGAAGCTTACTGACTCGCTCTGATCTCAGCGAAACCAATATCCCCATTGTTATTGCAGCTTGCTGTGTGCTCCACAATCTCTGTGAGAGCAAAGGGGAGACCTTTATGGCGGGGTGGGAGGTTGAGGCAAATAGCCTGGCTGCTGATTACGCCCAGCCAGACAGCTGTGCGATTAGAAGAGCCCAGCGGGACGCGCTGTGCATCCGGGAGGCTTTGAAAGCTAGGTTCCACAGTGAGCAGGGTAACCTGTGACTATTAAGTTTGTTTAAAGAGAAGATGAACCTTCCCCCGTTTCTTTACCCACTTAATGTTGACTATCCTCTCCAGTTACATACCCCCGTTGCCCCCCCTTCCAACACACCTTTAAAAATAAAATAATTGGAACTTTGTTCATTAACACCGTTTTCTTTATTAAGGGTTTTGTGGTAAAGGGTTGAAACTGGGATGCAGACTGGTGGGGAGTGGGTGTAGCGATGGAAAGGACGCTTCTAAACTCGAGGAATGACAGGCTCCTGCTCCTAGAGCGGTCCGCAGTGGTGGACTGATTGTTTCAACGGAGCCTGCCACCCCTCCTTTTCGAGACTCTGTGTGTGGGGGCTATGTGACTTTGTGGTGGGGGAGGACGGTTACAGATCCCCTGCTGCGTGACTCTGTGATCCAGGCTAAGGACTGCTGCATAAGATCTCTAACCGCCCTCCCCCGCCACAAAGTCACATAGCCCCCCACACACAGAACATGAAAACCACCTCCCAGACTGACCAGGGTGCCTAGTGACTGCAATGTGTGTGTGACCTTCTGCTGAACCTGCCCCGTGTCTGTACCCTGGTAAAGGTGACTGTCCTCTCCAATTACCAACCCCTTTCCCCCCCTTCAAACACACTCTCCTCTAAAAGAACATGACGGAAACAGTAATTAACAGAAATGTATTTTTTATTAGCAACTACACAGTTAGGGGATTAAACTGGGACGGGGGCTTGGGTGAGGCGGGAAGGAAAGGACTTATCAAATTTTTGGGAATGAGAGTCTTCTGGTACTTGAGCAGTCTGCAGGGGTGGAGTGACAGTTTTCACGGCCCCTGCCGCCCCTCCTTCTTGGGACTTTGGGTGGGGGGGGGGTATGGGACTTGGTGGCGGGGGAGGGCGGTTAGAGATAGACTGCAGGGGGGCTCTGTCCTCCTGTCTCCGGTCCTGCAGAACATCCACAAGGTGCCGGAGCGTGTCCGTTTGCTGCCTCATTAGTCCAAGCAGCGTTTGAGTTGCCTGCTGGTCTTCCTGCCGCCACCTGTCCTCCCTTCGCTGTGTGATCGCTGGTATTGCGACATGTTCTCCCTCCACTGGGTCTGCTGGGCCGCCTCGGCTCGGGAGCAGCCCATAAGTTCTGAGAACATGTCGTCCCGTGTCCTTTTCTTTCTCCGCCTAATCTGCGCCAGCCTCTGGGAGGGGGATGCCAGGGTAGGTCGGGAGACAGTCGCAGCTGTGGGATGGGAAAAAGGGAGTGAATTCCTCACAGATACATTTTTGTGAACAATGAACATAGTCTTTCTCTGTGAACAAGACCATGCACAACACCTATCACATGCGCACTCAGGACAAGGTCGAATTTTCGGCCTTGGCATTCAGTGCCTGGGGTCTTGCAGTGGAGATCAGACAAGCGGGGCAGGACAGCGGAATTGAGGTAGCAGGCTGACATGGTAAGCCGTAGACTTTTGGCTGCTTAAAACTTAATTTATAGCAGTGCCCTCCTTTCACGTTCAAAGCAATGCTCCTAGCGTTGGCCAGTTCCTGCTGCCGGCAATCCGGCAAGCATGAACTCTGCCCCTGTCCCACCCCCTCGCGGCTGTCCCCAGGAAAGATCCCTGTATGCTGCCCCTCTCCCGCCTCCACTGCGTGGCTGTAAACCGCCGGTTACAGTTATGTAAAGGAACAGGCAAGCAGTCCCAATACTAACATTCCCCTAATTCAAAGCAGGTCACCATGAGCGACATCACTCTGATGAGGATTTCTGACACAGAGAAAGACCGCATGCTGCGTGAAAGCCAGCAAAAACCAGGGCCGTATGCCGCCATGCTGTGCGAGGCAATGATCCCAGAGTACTTGATGATAGCCTGGCGCAGAAAAGTTTCCTACCACGGAGGACGCAATAAGGCCGCTCTCCCAAGGAACCTCATGCAAAGGCTTTCTAATTACCTCCAGGAGAGCTTCGTGGAGATGTCCCATGAGGATTTCAGCTCTATCCCCGGACATATTGACCTTATTTTCCAGTAGCTGCACTGGCAAGGACTAAAAAGTAGAGCGCCTAGCGCAAACTAATCATGAAAAACCCATTGTTAATATTCCTGTTCTGTTCAAAATAAATGTTTACATGTTTAAAACACTTACTAACTGATCCTTCCCCTGATTCAGAGTCTGGGTTAACGCCTGTGGAGGGTTGGTAGGGGATCTCTGTGAGGGTGATGAAGAGCTCCTGGCTGTCGGGGAAATCAGCGTTGTAAGCGCTGTCGACTGCCTCATCCTCCTCATCTTCCCCGTCCGCTAACCTCTCCGAGGAAGCGGCCGTAGACAATATCCCATCCTCAGAGTCCACAGTCAGTGGTGGGGTAGTGGTGGCGGCCGCACCTAGAATGGAATGCAGTGCCTCGTAGAAACGGCATGTCTGGGGCTGGGATCCGGAGCGTCCGTTTGACTCTTTGGTCTTCTGGTACGCTTGTCTCAGCTCCTTGATTTTCACGCGGCACTGCGTTGCATCCCGGCTGTATCCTCTCTCCGTCATGGCTTTTGAGATCTTCTCGTAGATCTTCGCATTCCGTTTCTTGGAGCGCAGCTCCGAAAGCACGGACTCATCGCCCCACACAGCGATCAGATCCAAGACTTCCCGATCAGTCCATGCTGGGGCCTTCTTTCTATTCTGAGATTGCATGGTCACCTCTGCTGGAGAGCTCTGCGTCGTTGCCAGTGCTGCTGAGCTTGCCACGATGTCCAAACAGGAAATGAGATTCAAACTGGCCAGACAGGAAAAGGAATTCAGATTTTCCCGGGGCTTTTCCTGTGTGGCTGGTCAGAGCATCCGAGCTCGGACTGCTGTCCAGAGCGTCAACAGAGTGGTGCACTGTGGGATTGCTCCCGGAGCTATTAGCGTCGAATTCCATCCACACCTACCCTAATTCGACATGGCCATGTCGAATTTAGCGCTACTCCCCTCGTCGGGGAGGAGTACAGAAATCAAATTAAAGAGACCTCTATGTTGAACTAAATAGCTTCGTTGTGTGGACGGGTGCAGGGTTAATTCGATTTAACGCTGCTAAATTCGACATAACCTCCTAGTGTAGACCAGGCCTTAGTGTTCCATTGATCATGAGGAGTCGGGGAGGAAGCATGGCTCAACCACACTTAAGCAGTGGTCCTGTAATAAATCAGTATGGCTGCTGCCAGAGCATGGTTCCAGTTGTAATGCCACTGAAATTTGTCCGAGCCACCATTCATACAGACAATGTGACTGGGCCAAATCAGTGAGTGGCTTAATGACCTGATGCATGGGATCACAGCGCCACTCAAATTTGGCCCAGCTGCCCCTCCATCTAGATGGCCAAATGGTGTTGCAACCTGGTGCGTAAGGATTCTGTTCCTGTATGGCAGAACTATGGGGAGTCCACAACTCCTGGCAGCACCGGCTCATGCACTATGTGGATAAGAGAGATTGACGACTTCCCGGCCAAGGGAGATCTGGGGTTCTTCCGAGGGGGAGATGAACAGGGCTGTTGCCCGGGATGGGGGAGGGGGGGGATTTGTGTCCCCTTCCCCAGGCAAGAAATCTGAATTGGCACCACTGGTAAACCAGTTTTACAGTGTGGAACTTTTTAGGACTTTTTCCTTCTAGAGGAGTCTTTAAATCTTTGTTCTTGCTAGAAAGTTGCTAACATGGTTTCAGATTTTTGTTAGTGGCATTTTGAAGCCCTGACTATACTAGGGCTTTATCTGAACTAGGCTTTTTCCCTAAATTTCCACCTGTTGCTAATACCAGTGTAACTCCACTGGTAGCAACAGGGGAAGCTCTGGTGTAGACAGGGCACCAGTGGCCATGGGTGTTCTTCCATAGTGGCTTAATTCTGCCCAGGACAAGCATATAATAATGGTAAAAATGCTAGTAGCCATGATCAGCTTAGCATTGGCACAACTCCAGTGTAATTAACAATGGGGAAACTGTTGGAAGAAAGGACTTTTTTAAAAACAGCCTTAAGAGGTTGGCTCAATCCTAAAAGAGTCTTTCACTCTGATAAAAGTGCCTTAACTCCCAGCGTGGACAGAATGAAACAGTTGTCAGTGCTGTAGATTTATTGCTGAAAATGGCTTAAGTTCCTAATGTGCACTGCCTTTAATAGGGCAACGCCTTTGCTCTGATGTCCTTAGTTATTGGTGATGGTCATCTTTCACATGCTGATTTTTGAGATCATTCTCTGCAAGTTAATGGGAAAAGATTCCTAGGCTTTTGAGCAGTACCACATGGCAGGCCTTTGGCTGCCTTTCCCTAATGTATAGGTGACTTGAAAAGTAGCTGGAATGACTGGCTCTGCATACATTTAGCAAATGGTAATGCTTAATATTGACACCTAGATAGGAGTTTAGTCTTCTATGTTTATAGAAGCTGTTTCCTGTTAAGTCATAAACTTTAATTGCCCCTAAAATCCAGTCCTGTTTAGGGTGGTCGCCGTTGAAGTTGTCCTCTTCTGAGTTTTGTAATGAGTGATATTAGCCACACGCACACAGACACACTCTCTCTTCCCCCCCCAACATCTGTTGAGCTTTTAGTCTCAAAGAATCAGCTGAGATGGGTGTTGAGGGGAAGGGAGGAAAGTGGCTTGCCTAATGTTTGTTTTCTGAAGCTACATTTGAGTGGCTATCACATTTTTATTTTCTTGTTTTTATAACTGTCTTTATCTGGGCATTGTCACTTCCTGCTTTTGAATTTAAGCTGGTGTTCTCACTAGTTCAGTTAAGAACAGTTCAGTTGTCTAGTGCAGATATGGCTGAAGTGTAAGAGGTTTATCATGGAAATGCCTTTCCAACCATAGCATTGATGGCCACACAGACTGTAATATGTGCATGCCCAGATGCTCAGTAAGATCATTCAGAAGCACACCATAGAGTTAAATGTGAAAAGAGCCTCTTAGACCAATAGTGCAAATGTCAAAGCTGTTGCACTCACAGTACAGAAAAGTATACATATCTGACTCCTCCATACTAAGCAGTGAAGCTAAAATTGGTGTAGATAAAAATCTTGTTTTTCAGCAGTAAACACACTAGTTAAAATAGCAAAGTAGCATCTAATAAAATTCCCTGGGTTTTTTTATAACTTTATCTCATTGTTCTTGGGCTGAAACAATCTGTGCTCAATCTCAGCCCAAAGGTGAAAATCTGAGGGAAATCCCTACAGCTGTAAGGGAAAAATCTAAGGCAGACTTTTTGAAATGTCAAACTGAGCATGCAGATAACCCTCAGACATAGAACTGATTGGTCTAAAATCTGTTTAGCATATGAAAGTTCTGTTGAATCATTGAACTATGAAACTTCCCATAAGTTTTAAATTGCACTTTCACATTGAGGTGGAAGTTGGGGGAAGAGATCGGGAGACGTGCCCTGGGAAAGTCTGCACACCTCTTGAATAGGCTGAGAAAGCAGACCGACTTTGTCCAACTTTGCCATCTTCATATGGGTGTTTTAACTCCAAACTCCTTGGAATATGAAGACATTAGATTGCACATTTATTTCAAACTCCTTGTGCTCTGGGTTTTACACCCCAGAGTACCTGAGTCTTTAGGACATTAAAATAGATGGCTTTCATTTCTTGGTCAAGGTTAAGATCCAAAATCTGCTCCTGTGCTGACTTCATCGAGGCCTCCAGTGTGATTCTTGTACTGCACCAGTGCCTTTATGAAGTACACACTTTACATAAGCACAAGCATGGTATTTGTAATCTTAATATACATGGAAGACTTTTGCTTTTCCCACTTCTAAGAGTTTTATTTTGTCTAATAGCATATTTAAAGAACTTTTCAGCAAAGAAAGTGAGATATTGTGTACCTAAATAAAACTGCAGAGGGAACATTCAGTCAGAACAAAGTCACCGAAATTCAAATACTGTCAAACTTGACATCCTTACCCATGTCAAGTGACATGGTGTCAGTAATATCTTCAAGTCAGACTCAGTTTCATCTCATCCAAAATATAGTATCTCTTGCACATTGTTGTGGCATTAGCTCAGTACTGACTCACATGCTACCTAATGAATTTCCAGCTTCACATCCTGTATCACCTGGATTTTTCTTTAGAGGTCTCTCAGCCAAGACCCAGCTAGATAGACTTAAGGAGTGTCACCACCTTTGGCTTTAATCTCCAGAGCTGTCAGTCTAGTGCTAAATTTACTTGAAATGTTTTAAGGCTTTTTGTATTGGAATAAAGCTACAATAACATCTTTCCTCTGCTTTTGCAGGATCCGGAAGTTATGGTCGCATTCCAAGATGTTGCCCAGAACCCAGCAAACATGTCCAAGTACCAGAACAACCCCAAGGTCATGAACCTCATCAGCAAACTGTCAGCCAAATTTGGAAGTCAACCATAAATTCCCTTTTAATAAAATCATAAGTGTATGGGAAAAAAGAATTGATTACTTAACAAATGCAGGTGTTGCAATAACACAAACCATTGTACCTCTAATCTTCTCATGAAGAGAACTGGGGTGCTCTAAAGAGAGTCCGCCTCATGCATCAAACTTTTTGCAAAGATTGGTTTAGTTACTCAAATTATACTTGGTAACATACACTTTCAATCCTCCCTCTCTACCCCAGAGTTGCAACCATTTGTTACAAGTATTAAATGCTGTCTCCTTTGAATTAAGACTTCTAATAGATTGTAAGCTTTCAATAGGTAGTCTGATTTAACAAAAAGCAGTTTTAAATCAAACTGTCATCCTGGCTTTCACTTCCCCAGCAAATAAAGAAGCAGGAATTGTAACACCAGGGTCCTGTATTATCCATCTGGGACAGGAAAATTGGTCTAATTGTAGAAAAGGGTATAGTGGGGACAATTATTTTAAAGTATTAACTGGATGAAGGAGGTGTCTGCAGGTACTGTTACACACCCTTTTATTTGCTTTACATTTTGATGTGTGGCTGACTTTAGATGGTGGTTAGAGCAAAACCAATAAGGGTCACCAATATTCTAACTACTTATACACTGGAACTTCTGGCAGTACTGCCAACAATGTTTAAAACTTAGGATTGCCCCCTGCTCTGTGGCTATCCTTTGCTCATTCTGGCATGAAACACATTTTATTGCAAATACCACTGAGGTTAGGTAGATTACTTGCTATATTCTTGCCCAACATATTTATGTAATACTGTTGTATTATCTCTGTCCAGGTGGATAAGGGAGAGCACCCTATTGTCTGTAGCAGTGCACTCCTTTCCTTCCCTGATTGGCAGGTCTTTAACTAGTTGTACTCTTTCTGATGAGGCAACTCTTGCCAGGCTTCAACCATTTGAAAATTAAAAGGAAGGAAACTTATCCCTACCACCACCTCTGTCCCTTTAAGTGAGCAAGCTATCCTGAACATGGGGTGTAAAATGCTATTATTATTAGTTAAAGGCAGAATAAACCCCACAATAGAGCAACTCTGGGTTCTGAGGGAGTCTGAGTCCTAATATGCTTATAGATTAAATCTCTTGGCCAAAGTCTTCAACTTTTGTCTCTGTCCTCTTGTCAGAGCAGTCGAGTCCTTTCCTACTATTGTACACCCCAGTCTTCCATCTTTAACTTTCTTTTTTAATATGATGCTGTCCCAGTGGTCAACACTTCAGTTCAATTCAGGGTTCTTGGGGTTTGGGATAAATATGAGAAGGTGGATTAGTTGGCACAGATGACGCATACTTTTTAACACTTTGTGAATTTACAACATGGGTATCCTTGGAACAGTGTGTCTTTGCTGGTATGTTCTTGCTGCTTCCATTTGTTTGTCTTTACTAAACTTTGCCTCCTGCTCATGTTGGAAAGTTTATCATAACTAGCTTTTGGTCACGTTTGGGTCTTCTGAAAGCTTTTCTGTTCAGTGATCTTGTAATTCTGTGTCTTAAGCCATAATGGATGTCACTGTTTTTAATTAAATCTGGACTTGTTTAGGAACTCAACAACAGATGCAAAAATCACACACACCAAATGCTTTATTTCTCATACTAATAACCCTGCAAAATGGAAAGAGATGTGAATTCTTTTTTGCTTAAGAAATATAGTTCTGAAATACTTCTAGTTGCCTTTAAAAAAAAATAATAAAGTATGGTTTTGAAAAATTAAGTTTCTTGGCTTGGCTTTGTAACTGAAAACTTGTTCATTAAGTGGAAACCCTAATGTAAGCACACAGTTTATGATTAAACTGCATACAGCCTGGACTAAATGCTTGACTAAGGGCTTGTCGTCCCTGCAAAGTTAACTCAAATTATAGCGCAAGTGTTGCCCCTAACCCAGCTCGTGTCCATATACAAAAATTTCTGGTTTGAGTGATGGTGCTTTAAATCAAGCAACCTAAGGGAGTTTAGGTTGAGCTCAGGTGCTGCTGATGCTCAAGCTACTATGCTGTGTGAATGCATATAGAGTCCACTTGAGTACAGTCTCCCTCCCTTTCCCCCCTGCAGCTGTCTTCCAAAAAGTCCTGGGGCCTCTGTCTACCTACCTACTCCCTGGTTTTGGACCGGAAGTTACTTCCAGACAGTATAAATAGCCTGCTTTGGTGTTCAGACCCCACCTCTGCATGCAGTTTTCTGTACTAGTAATATTTATATAGTACTTTTATTGCCTTCTGATCTGAACAGGTACATCTTGCAGTGTGGATAAAAATTCACTTTAAAAATGTTTATTTAAACCTGATTGATTTTAAATTAATTTTGTTTTTAAGAGAAACCTCTTTAGAATTGAAATTATGACAACCTATGTTAAAGCCTGAATTTATTATAACAACATTTAAGCTAATATTAAGAGTACACGTAGCTTCTGATCTTTCTTTGAAAGTCAAACTATTGAATTAGTGGAAGTCACTGTGCTAAGCACCTGGAACCAGAACTTGCTGAAGTGCTAAAACAACATTTGACAGCAGTAGCCTCCTCTGCAGACACCGAATATTTTCTTCATTTCAGTTTATTCAACTAGTTTAGGTCAGTGACTAGCTCATTCCAGTTAAGAAACTAGTTGGGAGTTGAAAAACCAGGAAAGCTTGTTTTCTTCTCTCAATTTGTGAATAAAAATAGAGGATGAGATCTACTAGTTCTAAAATCTTGAAGGATAGGGTGACCAGAAACAATTAATTGAACTAGCTAATCACAGTTGCTTCCTTTTATTTAATACGTTTTAAATAATAAACAATTTTAAAATGCTGTCTTTGTGAATTTTAATTTAATTTCAATTTCCATCCAGATACAGCTTAATGCAAATCATGAGTGAAAAAATCTAGTAAATAAGAAATGCCTCATTCACAATTTTCTAATATACTAAATATAAATTAAAAATCTGGATAAATGCATATTAAATTATATAACTGCTTAAATATGTATAGATATATGCAATGTATGTGTAGGTCAGTCAAAAGAAACACCAAAGTTAGTGTGAAGGCTATACTTAATGGCAAAAAACATATTTTAATGGATACCACCCAATGAGAATCAACTTTTCTTAAGGGAAATAATCTTGGTTTGCATTTGTACTTAAAATAAAATATTTAAATCAAGGTTCCTGTTTGCTGATTTAAATAATGATTAAAATCAGTGTTTTAAATGGCCTTGATTAAAATAATCTACCCTGGTATTCTAGGAGAGCATACTCCCAGTGGGTGACTAGTTGGTCTGAGGCTGATAACAAAGTTTTCTTGAGACTGTGGTGTGAGGCCAGCAAGACCTAAGATTTTGGGTCTGGGGCCAGAAATAAGTATCAGTGATATCTCCAGGAAGCAAGCTGACAAAGGGATCCACAACATTAGACTTCTGCCAGGGAAACATAAAATCTCTGAAGAGCCTGTACTGCTGGGCAAAGGACCACAACTCTTGTTCTGGTAACTCCCCTAGAACATCACTGTTCTATGAGGAGTTGGACCAGGAGATTAACAGTACCTCAAGCATGGAGCTCCTGAATACCCCTTGATATCTCAAGGGTCCTGGGCAATGTACATGGGTGATCAAGGGCTGAGTCAGAGGAACTGGCCCAATCTCAGCTGAGGGTAGAGCAGATGCTCACCACTTCTAGGTATAGCCTGTCTCACCTCACCCAGCCCTCCCAGATCCTCTTCAGGGAGGAGGTAGAAGAACACATGGGAGAGGATATAGCAGAGGAATCAGCATCAACTCAGCTGAGTAAAGTGACTCATCAGTGTTATGGGTGGGAGAATATGAGAAAAGGGGGCTGTCCTTACCTGTGTGGGACCACTCTCTTGCTGGAGTGGGAGATGTTGCATGCTGGAGACTGGACTTTTTATGCAATGCATATTGTTGCTTCACTTTGAGGGCAAAAGAATTGTCCCGTTCTGCTCTCTTCCCCTCATGCACATGCTGTCCAAGACAGATCCCAAGCAGGGAAGAAAATGTTTTAAACATGCAAGTGGTGACTTATAGAGGTGTATACTGCTGCATATGTGCAAAATAGGGATTATTACAGTACTCCAAACCAAGAGCTGCAGGAGTGGGACAAGCATAGTTGTGGAGTCACATATAACTGCTTTTTCTCAAGCAAGATAGCATTTTTAGAAGCAGTCAACACTTAAAGACTGGTTTAGGAAACAAATCCACTGCATGGCCTGTGTTGATATTAAGTCCTGAGCTTATCTATAAAGTCTCCTGGAAATATAGGTCCAGCTGCCATGGGTGGAAGGGATTGGGGTTGCAAAGACACATCTGGGGAGGTTCTATACTGCTGCATTCTAGTTCAGCATCCTGTTTATACTGGCCTGAATTTTACTCCACTCCTGGGTAATGATGCAAGAAAACTTCTCATGGTATAGGAGCTTCAAACAGTCTGCCAGGTGTGTCAGCAGAGGAAACTTCTCATGTAGGGTTGTCAACTTTCTAATTACAGAAAATTGAACACCCTTGCCCCACCCCCTGCCCCTTCTCCAAGGCCCTGCCCCCACTCACTCCATCCCCCCTCCCTTTGTCCCTTGCTGTCCCCCATCCACCCTCACTCACCCCCTCATTTTCACTGGGCTGGGGCAGGGGTTGGAGTGCAGGAGGGAGTAAGGGTTCCAGCTGGGGGTGTAGGCTCTGCGGGTGAGGCCAGGGATGAGGGGTTTGGGGTGCAGGAGGAGGCTCCTGGCTGGGGGATGGGGTTGAGGGGCTTGGGGGAGGAGGTGCAGGGTATGGGCTCTGGGAGGGAGTTTACGTGCAGGAGGAGGTTCCAACCTGGGGCAGAGGGTTGGGGTGTGGGAGGGGCTCTGGTAGGGTGACCAGATGTCCTGATTTTATAGGGACAGTCCTGATTTTTGGGTCTTTTTCTTATATAGGTTCCTATTACCCTCCACCCCCGTCCCGATTTTTCACACTTGCTGTCTGGTCACCCTAGGTTCTGGGCTGGGGGTGCAGGCTCCAGGGTGGGGCCAGAAATGGGGCAGGGGTAGGGTGACCATATTTCCTGTTTTGGCGAGGACAGTCCCTTTTTTTAAGCAGTGTTCTGGCTGTCCTGACTTTTTTGGCAAAAGTGGGCATTTGTCCTTGATCAGTTAGCAAGAACAAACGGGACAAATGCCCACTTTTGTCAAAAAAGTCAGATGCGAGGGGTGAGCGGCGATGCCAGCCCCATGCAGGGAGCAAAGGCAGGGCTCGGGTGGGGGGCAGGCAGAGCTTGAGTGAACAGTGATGGCAGCCCCAGTCTTGCATGTGGGGGGTATGCAGGGCTTGGGCGAGCAGCAACCCCAGCCTCGCAGGGTGGGGGGAGGGAGGGCAGGCTCAGACAAATGGCTCAGACCAGTCCCGCATGAGGGAAAGATGAGGGGGGCGAAGGCTAGCCCCACACAGTGACCTGTTTTCTTTTTGGGAAATATGGTCACCCTAGGTAGGAGGTTGGAGTGCGGGAGGGGGCTCAGGGCTGGGGTAGGAGGTTGGGGTGCAGGAGGAGGTGAGGGGTGCGGGCTTTGGGCAGTGCTGACCTCAGGCAGCTCCCAGGAAGTGGCAACATGTCTCTCCAGCTCCCAGGCGGAGGAGCGACCAGGGGGCTCCGCACACTGCCCCCACCCACAGGCACCACCCCCACAGCTCCCATTGTCTGCGATTCCCAGTCTTAGCCAACCTGCCTTAGCCCTGCTGTGCCGCCACCTGTACTTTTAACGGCCCAGTCAGCGGTGCTGAACGGAGCTGCCAGGGTCCCTTTTCAACTGGGTGTTCCGGTTGAAAACCGGATACCTGGCAACCCTAACCGTGGATTAGCTTCAACAGGAGAGATTGAGGGAGTCCTACAACAGAATATCCCTTAAATCAGGCCTTGTCTACACTACAAAGTTTTGTCAGCAAAAGTTATGCCACTTTAATAAAAGCACTTTAATTAAAACCGCTGTTGCATGTCCACACTAGCTCACGTCAGCAGAGTGCATCTACACTAGCAACTCTTGCATCAACACAGAGCAGTGCACTGTGGGTAACTATCCCACTGTGCAGCTGGCTGCAGGGTGCTTTGGGAAGGGTTTGCAATGCCTCATGGGGCAGGTACAGCGTCACATGATGCAGGTTTCTCAATCCCATCATTCCAGGGGCATCCTAGTAGATTGTCAGGTGCTTTTTCAACTGAGGAAGGAGAGGCAAGTGGTGTATCTGGAGCGTGGGAGACAGCAGGCTGACCGACCTATCCTGAAGCAGAGGGAGGGGGGACATCCCCCCCCCATGTCAGCCCCCAGCTCTGCTCGGCACAGCAATCTCTCCCGAATCAGCCCACTCTGCCTGCGGTACTGTGATTCCTTCCGAGTTCCGGGAGCAGCATCCTGAGCAGCTCTGTGAGCTCTCTGTGCTGAGGAATGTCAAAGCAGCACAGCAGTCGTGTCCTCCATCCCCTGTCCCCCAGCAAGCCACCAGTGTTCCTAGAACAGGTCAGAAGTGGAGCATTCCATGTTAATGATTTGCTCTTTGTTCCTGGAGCAGAACAGCATGCTCAGCTGTCTGATACTTCTCAGAGCTTTGAAAGGGGAGGGGTGAAAACCTACAGGGCAGCGGAGATCAAAACAGTGAGCATAGTGGTCACTACAGGCATTGTGGGCTACTGGTGGAAGCCAGTTATGTTGACAAAACAAACAGCAGTCTATACTGATGCTTTGTCACTTTAACTTTGC